CGCCGCGGCCTCGCTCACGGCCTCGGGGGCCGGGACGCACGCAGCGCCGCGGGGCGCAGGCGGGAGCCGGGCAGAGCCGAACCCCTCGTCCTCCCCCCATCCTCCCCAGACCCAGGGAACCGCAAACCCCGGTGACCCGCCAGCCGCAAGGAGTACGTACAGAACAGCTGGCCGTAATGACGTGTATTAGGTCTCACACCGCAGAGCTGGCACAGTGCCATGGAACAGCTTGTTTTAAGTCACCTCGTGACCCAGCCCGCTTGTTACCTGTGCGGCCAGTGCCGAAACCAAAGCTATGCTCTTCCAGCTGTGCCAGGAGCGCAGAAGCGCTAGAGTCGGCTCAAACGCTGAGGAAGAGGGAAGCCCACCATCCCTCATGGCTACAATCTGGTATTAGCTTTTTAGTCCTTTTACATACTGAGAAATAAGCCACTCTAGCTTGAGAATTAAGAGCTTGATCAGTCTTTCAGATACGTAGGCATTGGAGAGCCATGTCAGGCACACTCAGCTTCTTCCTTTTCCTTCTCTCCACAGGACATCCTGCCCACAGCGCAGAATTCCGTGTTTGGGCGTAGGTCAATATAATGAGCTATACAGTTAGACATAGCAAAAAAAGCAGAAATCATGCCTATGTCCCAGGCATCTTCATGGTCAAAACCATGCCTCTCCAGCTTCTGGAAATGCTCTTCAGTGATGTTATCAGCTTGACAGACTGCAAGAGCAAACTCCAGCATTGCCAGGTCCCGGTCACTCAGGTCAACCAGTTTCCAGTTCACAGTGACCTGTGAGAAGGCAGAAACCAGAGGTAGCACAAATGGACCCAGCAAACAGTCTAACTGGCTGACCACCTTCTTTGCCCCGCAAACCAAAGAGATGGCAGTACACAGGCTCTTACTCAGCACCTGAACCAGCCGTCCTGGCTACCATCAGACAAAAGACTCATCTATGTTACCGCCCTTCTCATCTTGGGGACTGTGGCAGTTTTGCTGAGCAGGCTATGGAAGAGTTCTTGAAATGGGACCCAATGCCACCAGGATGCTGCAGCTCCCCATTGGTAGCAAGTTCCTCCACAGACCAGATTAAAACAGCAAAGAATGTGGCCAGCAGGATGAATGCTCTGCAGGTCAACCATCCCTCCCCACATCTTGCTTGCAAGGTGGATGAGGATACACAGACCCCCACCTTGAGGTCCTACCCCCACTGGCTACTGGTCTGACTGCTCACCAATAAACCTAGTAAGCCAGGTATTGAGTTAGGGCCCCAAACATGTCAAAATTGCTCAAGATTGCTGGGAACCTCATAGATCAAAGGTTCAAAATACAGATTAAGGATCAAAACTTCAGGTGAGAAAGCAGACACATCAGAGGGCCATTCCCACCTCCCAAGGGACCATGCAAAGCAGGTGGGGTGCACACTGTTGTAACCCCACTGATGTGGTCAGCCAGCATTGGCTGCTTGGAATATATCCAACGAAGTGCTCCATGTCCAACCACACAGGTAGGGACATCTATTCACAACACTTGTAGCCACAATTATGAGCTCTTTCTCTGCCTTGCTGAGTCACCCTACAGGGACAGCAAAAGATTTGGCACACTTTGCTGTTAAAAATGTCCACCACAGCAAGTATCACTGGGGAAACAGGGAGGGGAGGGCTCCAGGTACAAGCTGCCTGCAGTACAGCCCAGGAGACAGAGCTTCAGAGGTCATGCAAGGAGACACTGCAACCAAAGCTCCTAGATAACAGGACAAGGGACAGTGGTTTTAAACTGAAAGATGGTAGGTTTATATTGGACATAAGGAGAAAATGTTTTACGATGAGGGTGGTGAGACACTGGAACAGGTTGTCCAGAGAAGTTGTGGATGTCCCACCCTTGAAGCATTCAAGGTCACGTTGGACGGGGCTTTGAGCACCCTGATCTAGTAAAAGATGTCCCTGCCCACGGCAGGGGGGGTGTTGGACTAGATGATCTTTAAAGGTCCCTTCCAACCCAAACCATTCTGTGATTCTATGACCATCCATGCGACAAATTTACCTGGATAGTTGCTCGTGAGGCACCTAATTAGGATGAGGGACATGAGATTTGGTCAACAGGGAAACAACAATTCTACATAACAGGAAAACTCAGAGGAGCAAAATTACTTGCTCACGGAGTAGGAAGCTCGGTTGGTACTTCTCTGTGTATGTCTCAGAGGCAAATGGCTAGGGAAGGTGTTGCCTGTTCTTCCTCCGATGCTTTATTGCTGCTTTTAGAGAAAACTGCAGTGTTCTAAAACCTGCTGAGCAGGTTTCAGCAAGTAAACGTTACTGGCAGCTTTTGAAGGCAGAAAGAAAAAACCAAAAGGAACAATGAAGTACCCTAGGACCGGGGCTTTGAGAACTTCTAGTGACCACCAGACAGACAAATCACAACTTCTACAGAGTGTCTAGCCCTGTCACTGCTCTAAAGAAGCTGTGGAAAAGAAGGCTGTGTTTTGTTATACTCTGAATCAATCCTAATCATTTTCACAAACAGCTTCACAACAGGACTGTGCACAGGATCTGAGGAACTTACCTGGCTGCATTATCAACACTCATGCTCTTTGCCTTTGCAATAATTAGCAGCAGGGTTTTTTCAAAACTACACTTCACAGGGAAGGTCAGGGTCCCTCCTCCTCCTCCCCACAAAAACTACTGCTTTACTGGACTTCGAAAATATTTCCATAAAACCAGTGTCCTCTAAGAGCATGAAAGACACTACTAAAACCTCCTGGGTAAAGAGGAGTCAGGAGAAGAGGCCTTCTTGCTCTGGTTCAGTGACAGAAGGTCGCAATGCTGTGATACTGCAGGAGGTATGCTGAAAAGGGTGGGATCCAAAACAGTCCTACTCTTCAAGTCAAAAAGGAAGCATGGGAATGAGAAGGGAAAAACAGACCCTTGTACAGCTAGGGACATGGCTTCACTCCAGCAGCACAAGCAGAGTAGAAAGCTTCAGAGACTGCATGTACCATGTGGGAGAGGCATAAGACTGCACTCCTCGCTGCCTCCAGATCTTGCTCAGACACTCCTCCCAAGCCCTCATCTCCTATAAGAAGGAGGAGCAGTCTACAATGCGCCAGCTTATTTTACAAAATCCTGGTTTTACTAATGTACCTTCACAGCAAAAGCAATGAGAACAGGCCCCTCAGTGCCCGGTACCACAGCAAGTATGAGGGAGGAACAGGCAGCCCTCAAACTGCGTTTCCTCAAAGGCTGGAGAGCTGTGCAGAGTTCCCTACAGCCATGCCCAGCGGCACTGCTGCAGCCAACCCTCCCTCATCTCCACACTGGGGCACCCAGAGGCTGCCTGCTGCACAGGCATCCCAGCGTGCAGCACGCACCTCGGTCCTCTCCCTGCTGCTGCAGGGCACAGTCACCCCCAGGTTCAAAGTCCCCGGTGCAGTGCATCAGGGCCCAGAGGGCACAGCCTCCCTCACACAAATTTTGCGCGCTGCTCTCGGGCAGCTCATCGCCAAGAACTGTTGTGAAGGAAGAACTGCAGGCAGGCTCAGCAAGGACCTGCCCCTCCCTTGGGAGCTGTTTTATGCTAGGCTTTGGCTGTGACCCCACCTGAGCCACGCTGTGGCTGCAGTGCCTGGCTGCATAACCCTGCTGGTCTGGAACCTGACTGACCCCCAGGCCGACTTTCTGGCTTGGTCTTGGATCTGCCTCGTCCCCATGGACTTGCCTGGGAAATCTAGACTCCCGGCTGGCCCTGGTCATCACTGCCAGGCCTACCCGGCTCGCCTTGCACTGGTAGTGTGGTGCTGCAGCCTTGCCCATGAAACCACTGCCTCTGCCTGTGGCCTTCCAGCACACTCGGCTCCCAGCTCATCTTCCCTTAGGCAGCAGCCCATCCTTTCTTTGTCGTGACACAGAGCACGGTGCAGCGAGGCAGCAGAGCTTGGCTTGAGAGCTGCTTTTTAACACAAGCTAAAGAGTATGAAGCTGTATGCAATACGAGTGAAGCTAGAAGCAGCTGCACAGTTCCAGCCTCTGCCAGCTGTTATTATGGTCTGGGAGAAGGCACGGTGAGGCAATACATCTGAGGATGTCAGAAATGTCGCTTCTAGCAACTTTTTGCATCTACAAAGGGAAGGGCAGTTTTGAGGTGGTTGTATGGTTTACCTGTGTCTTTGTTCATAATGCGTTGTATTAAGCAAAAAGAGCTCTGAATTCAACAGGTCAGTGAGACATGGCTTTCAACACACTGGGCAGAAATCCAGTCTGTTCAAGGAAAAAGAAAAACAAGTCAAGAACTGTAACTTAACACAGAGCACAGAGGGCGACATGAATGCACTAGGCTTAGAGAACAATTTGTTAGCACAGCAGTGCTGGGGAACCTCTGCAGATCCATTCTCTTGCCCTTTGAGCCCATTTATACCTATGGCTGAACATGTAATGATGTGGTTCTTAATTAGGGGTTGCTGCAGTTTCATAGCATGACTGATTGCACCGCTCACTTCAGCCACAGCAGTAATGACCACCATCATATCGGCAAGCCCCTTTCCAAACTGAGAGGCTGTCTCCGCTTGGCCTCCCTACACAGATGCTGCTATGCCCATTCGACCGTCCTAAACCTTCTGTAACTCTCCCCTTCGTTCCTTCTCCCTGCGGGCAAGACCGGGCCCACCCAATCCGAACAGCAAGTCATTTGAGGTGCCGGCACACAGTGGATGTATATGCTGGCACAATGATGCTGCTCTACTTCTCTCCCCGTTCTGCCCCCGATAACTGCCAATGCCCAGCCCATCTCTGTGATGGCGTGCAGGGCTGCCTTTCCCAGAGAATCGCTTGCTGCCTCTCACGTGCAGGATCAGCTGATGCAGCACCCACCCGTGCCTGGGTCCCAGCAGTCAGCATTTATCAGCAGGGGTTCAGCCTCAGTGCCTGGCTGCCCACTGCAGTTCTAAACAGTCTGGGTTCGCTGTGGTTGTGCTTCATCAGCTTAGCAACTGCTGTTCTTCAGGGTGTTTATAGAAAAGGAGTAGCCCAGGTGTCACAGACCCCTCTGGCAACCTCCTTCCACTGCCACACAATTGCCTGTGCCTTCCTCCTGTCTCACCTGTCTGTTTACTGTTAGTTAACCAAGGGGAGGCTCTTCCCTCTTCATCCACAACCCATGAGTTTACTTAGGAACCTCTGGCAACAGAGGTTGGCAGCACTGTTTGGATACCCAAGTCTGCTAGGTTGATTGGATCCTATATGTAGGTCTTTGCTGACCCCTTCAGTGCACTGACACGCAGGGGTTTGTGTCACAGCATGTGAAATTTGAGTTGGCTCTTCCTCTGTACATCATATTTACCCTCAAGTCTGCGGACTCCTTTCATTACTACACAAACTTCACCAGGGCCACTGCAACGGCAGCAGAGCACAGATTCAACAGGCTGGCAGGAAGGATAGGGAGGGATGGACTGACACTCACCTGAGAGGAAGCTCTTGGAAGAGAGAAGTCTGCACAGAGCTGTGGCTGGTGGAGTGTTTTAGCCATCAGGAAGGACTGTGTGGCATTCCTTCTCCGCAACAGCAAGGAAGGAAACTCTTGTCCAGTTCCCTCTTTTTCCCCTTATACACAGTTCTGCATTAAGCCTACTGTTCTGCCACTGTGCAGCCCGTTTAGTTTTGGAGAAAAAAAAGTCAAAGCTCAAAAGCAGAAATACCCCCTGAGCCTTTTAATATTGTCATGAAAACAGCTCCTCCCATTTTTTCTCCATTAAAAGTGTTAAAAACACTCCTAATAGTGTCTCAAGTAAACACAGATGCTCTCCCAGAAAAACAAATACATGCCAGTGTTCCAGCTAAGCCCGTGCACAAGACACCATCTGAAACAACCCACTAATCTCATGGAACCAGGGAGACTTACAATTCTGCCAACACACTGCAGGATTTCCAGCAAAATCCCCATCCTGTAAACTGGAAGGAGCTTTGCAAGAAGTGCTGCCCACCTCAATCTCCCATCAGATTTGTTAGACGTAACTGGACCAGAACTGCTCTCTCAGGGTTTATGACCTACTCGGACTTTGGACCCTTTCCACTGACAGAGTTTTGCAGAAGAACTCCTTTACCTTCATTCCTATTTCCTCCGTAAGGTCCACAATGTCATACGGCATGTCCTTCTTATTGGGTACCAGGTACTGCCCAACAGGTCTTGCAGCGCTCTCTTCCCTGGTGCTGTATGCCACCGGGGGCCACCTCTGGAGTCCCCCTGAGGCTAGGAGAGGCAGAAGCTGAGGAGAAAGGAGAGAGGAGACTTTGTTATTTGGAAGGACACATACCATCTCGGCAGCCTGGGGAGGGAGGACTTTTCCTCAGCTACTCCTGCTTTTCTGACAGGACTCGGGCACCTCTGTCGCTGTAAGCCACTTGCTGCTCCATTAGCGGGGCAGTCGGTGCTCTGGGAAAGGAAACACAAGTCCCATTCCTGGCTGTAGCCCTAAGCTGCTGTGTGGGCATCTGGCAAGCATCACCTCCCCTCGTCCCCCTCCTGTGCACCATCTCAGCTGCAGGCTACGGCTGCTGCTCCTTGCAGTCCTCACCAGCCATGGATCAGCCCATCTGCACCAATGCTGAACCTGCGGCATCTCCCAAGCTTAAAAGGTGTTTCCTGCCAATCTGCACACAGCAACATCACGTGGATATCCAGCAGTGGCCCTAACAGATACCCTTCAACAAAGGAGCACGAAGAATAAATTCAAGGCCCTTTTTTTCTGCCAATCAGCCTTCCTTCAGGCAAAGCCACCTTCCCTCCTGCAGAACAATCAGTGGCACCAGAATCAGGCCTTCTGGAGGCCTGAAGCAAACAGCATTGTTACACCGGAACCACTGGAAAGGGTTTGGTACTGAGAAGACTGTATCACCCTTTGTAATGCTCCATTACTGTAAGAAGTTGTGGTCTTGCAGCATCTAGGCTATAGGCCTCGTTAGTTCTTGAACTGTGTCGCAAAGGGCTTTACAAAAGCAGCTGCATCTTGCAGATGCGTGGGCTGGGCCGGAGCATGGAGTGACTTGGTGTTGGGGAGTTGGTGCAGGCATGGGAACAGAGCCCAGGTGTCCCGGCGCCCTGCTCAGAGGGCGCTTTGAGTGTCTTCCCAGCGCTCCAGCATGCACCACAGCAGTTCTGAATATTCCCAGGAACATTGCATGATCCCCAGTCACCCCCACCATCGCGTGGTGTCCCCCACAATTTTGGGGTGAAAACTAAACCTGTTGGATCACATATTCTCCCAGTGTTCTTGCTTGGCATACACTTGAGTTCTGGCCTGACACGCCAACACACTACTGCAGCACAAACGAGTAACAATGATAACCAGGGCAGAGACACCTCAGCTCGCTGCTATGAGGAATGAAGGTGCTGAAACAGCTGTACATGCTGTACCAGCACGTATCCAGGTACTACCTATGAAAATTATGAGAAAAACACAAAAGCAAGTATAAGCAGGAAAACCAGCTCAGAAATGAAACTTCTGTTTCAAAACAGAAAAACCCCAGTGTAAAAATACACTGGGGTACAACAAGTAGCTTTAGGGCCATTGAAAGCAAGGATTCCCATCACGTAAAGATCAACCACGCATCCGGTTCAAAACCAGGGCAAACCTGTATACATCAATACAAAGGTCTGGTGGATTTTCCTATCACTGGAAGAAAAAGCATTAGAGGATGCAGGGTCTGTGACACGAAGCAGAAGCTTCACGGAGGGACAGTGCACAAGTGCCTGACAGATTTACCCTCCGTTTGCGATGGTGTGTGACGTCCCGAGTGAAAAGGAGAAGCTGTCAAGTGGTAGGAGCCGGTGGCCTCGATGAGACCCGACGGCTCCATGGAGGCCACAGCCGGCGGGGGC